CTGGAGTGAGGCTGAGTGAGGGATGTTGGCAGGACTGAGGTGCTGCCTGCCCTCAGATGCCCCTCTGCCCCCTGCCCACTCCAGTGCTTCAGCCCCTGCCCACAGCCTGGCCTTGTGCAGGATCCTGTGCCAGGTCTCTCTGTATTGCCAGGTCCCTTCATTGTTCCCAAAGCTCTGGGCACAGCACAGGCCCCAGCAGCCCCATCACACCGTTCATGAGTGTAAACTGACACACAGGTGCTGACTGCCTTTGGGACAGCCCTCTGTGTTGCCAGGCCGGCAGAGCAGCTAACAGGCACCTCCCTGCTGCCTTCACCCTGCCAAGGGGCTGGGACAGGGGGCAGGACAGGTCTGGAACCAGTGCTAGGGCAGAGGGTTGTCTCATGCTGTGGCTGAGCTGGCTTTGCCCACCTCAGGCTGTCTGGACTCAGCTTCCCCAGCCACCCATGCTCTGCTTGGACCAGCACCAGCCCCCCACCCCAGAGCCAGCCCCCAACACCCATACGAAAACACAACCTTTATTTCTAAGGTTTGCAACAGCAAGTCCTGGCAGTGCAAGGTGCAAGGACAGAGCCAGGTCTGCCCTGGCTTGCTGAATAGGCACACAACCAACCCCACCTGGGAGACTCCTGGGGAATAAATACAGCAATCACAGGGGCAGCAGCACCTGCCCACCCAGCTAACATCTGTCCTTGTCTGGTCCTGCACACTGAGCACCCTGAGCACTCTGCCTTGCGACACACAGCTGGAATGGAGCCATGGGGCTCAGAGCCTCCCACTCTGAGACTTTATGGCAACTGTGCTCTCCTCTCCCACCCAGCTCAGGGCTGGCAGAGCTGTTTGAGGACATGGAGAACGTGGCTGGAGGTTCCAGGGGCACAGGGCTGTGGGGAATTGCAGAGCAGGGTCGGCCTCAAGCGCTGGGCGTGATGGAAGAGCTCCCGAGCGAACACCGGCTCCACCTGCGGAGGCACAGAATGACAGAGGATGGGCACAGGTCCGTGTCCCTGCCTGGCAATGGTCCCTGTGCCTGGCTCAGGGGTCACCAACCCCAGTGGGAACTCACGTGAGCCATGATGAGCTTCTGGAAGGGGTGCCCAGCTCTGGTGGGGTATTCCTCCCCGAAGCACAGGTAGATCTGGTACTGAGGCAGGAGCTGCCCGTTGCTCAGGTACTCCCGCACCTCTGCAAGACACCAATCTTGTCAGGGGACACGGGGCCCTCACAGCCCCCATCAGCCACAGCAGGGCAGGCCCTGCCCCTCTCCCCAGGGGATCGGGGTGTCCCAGGCACTTACGCTGGATGTACTGCTGCGTGTCCAGCAGCTTGTAAGTCCTCTCCCTCTCCAGCTTGTTGGGCCAGTTCCTGTGCGGGGCCAGGGGCCCGTTCCAGTACACCCTGCCCTGGCACTGGCGCTTCATGAAGACCCCCTCAGGTGCCACCCAGAGCAGCACCCCGCGCTCCAGGTGGGGCAGGAGCCTCTCCAGCACGTTGGTCATGCAGGCCACACGGCCGTGGCCGCTGAGCACCTGCGGGGGGGGGAACTGGATCTGCTCCATGCAGGAGGGGCCGTAGAG